ATAATAATAATAATAATAGTAATAATAATGAATTTTATTTACAATGCACTTTGAGATTTTTTTTCTAAAATGTAAAGTGCTACAATCAAAAACAATAGCAACAATACAAATAGAATGAAATACACTCTTCATGTTAAAAAGGTAAAAATAAAAACACTAATTAAAGGAAATCAATAGGAACACTAAGTAAAAAGGTTTCTAGGCCTGTTTTGATGCCTGCCACAGTCTGTGGAGCCATAAGATGAGGGGCCAAGGTAATCCACAGCAAAAGCAAGGCACATTAACTAAAAAGAATTCAGTAAAAATGCTAAATAGAAAAACAGTGTGTAAAAAGAAAAGTTTTTAGGCCAGCTCTGAAGCCTGCCACAGGTTTTGGAGGCCTCAGATGAGGAGGGAGGGTATTCCACAGGCAAGGAGCAGCGCAGGAAAAGGCCCGGTCACCAGTGGTGTGGGTACGAGTCTTGGGTATTTGCAGAAGATTTGTATTTGAGGAGCGGAGGGTATGAGAAGGACTGTAAGGAGTGAGGAGATTTAGTAAATAAGATGGCACTTTTCCATGCAGACTGATAAGTGAGAAGAAGAATTTTATAGTTTATCCTAGCAGAAGCAGGTAGCCAATGAAGTGAACAAAGAACAGGGCTAAAATGTTCAAATTTGCACATCCTCATCAGAAACCTGGCAGCAATGTTCTGAGCAAGTTGTAATTTTTGTATGTTCTTCACAGGAGCTCCAATGAGGAGAGCATCAAGTCTGGAAGAGACAAAGGCATGGACAAGTTTTTCTGCATCAGTGAGAGAGAGTGTAGATCAAAGTTTTGCAATGTTTCATAGGTGGAAAAATGAAATTTTACAAATGTGCTTAATATGATTTTCAAAGGTTAGCTGTGGGTCAAAGATAACACCAAGATCAGTGGCTGTATTAGAAAGAGGAGTGTTCTGATCAGAGAAAGCAATACTCAAAACTTTCCTTCGCTGAATTTGATGTGAGGCACCAGTTTGATTAACTTCTGTTTTTGAACTGTTAAGGTGGAGGAAGTTTTGTTGCATCCATGCCTTTATCTTCTCCAGACACACTGAAYGTGTGGAAAGAGAGGAAAATGGAGTATCAGATACATCACTAAGTAACTTAAGATATAAGTGAGTGTCATTGTCATAGCAATGAAATGATACCCATAGCTGCTGATGATACGCCCAAGTAGTACCATGTATAAATTAAAAAGAAGGGGTCCCAAGACTGATTCTTGGGGCACACCACACGAAACAAAGTGAGACTTTGATCTGGCACGCCCAATGGAGACACATTCAGATCTGTTTGTTGAATAGGATCGGAACCACTCCAAGGCAGTGCCAGTAAACCTTACATCCTAATCACTGGTCACTTATATCTAGGATGAGTACCATATTCACTACATTTTACTTACAGACCAAATTCTGTTGGTACTACCGAGAACCTATTCACGTAACATCAAAGTGTACCGTGTTTCAGTACAAATGCATCATTGTGACCGTATTGGCATAAGAGTGGTGAGTTTTCCATGCTTGTCCTGAATGCAGCATCGTGCAAGAGTGTAATGATGTCATCAGCCGCTGATGTAGCTTGAAAGTAGCTGAACGTAGCTTGAAAGCTAGTCTGGAAGCTCGCTGCTCCTGGAGTAAAACTCACTGAACAGACCACCTCTGAATTATCTGCTGGATTAATAATCTGCTGGATTAATAATCTGCTGGATTAATAACCTGCTGGATTAAAATTATCTGCTGGATTAATAATCTGCTGGATTAATAATCTGCTGGATTAAAATTATCTGCTGGATTACTAATCTGCTGGATTAATAACCTGCTGGATTAAAATTATCTGCTGGATTACTAATCTGCTGGATTACTAATCTGCTGGATTAATAACCTGCTGGATTAAAATTATCTGCTGGATTACTAATCTGCTGGATTAATTATCTGCCGGATTAATTATCTGCCGGATTAATTATCTGCCGGATTAATTATCTGCCGGATTAATAATGTGCCGGATTAATAATGTGCCGGATTAATAATGTGCCGGATTAATAATCTGCTGGATTAATAACCTTGTGAACATGGCGTTGTCTTGCTCAAAGTAAATCCAGAAGCAGGCCTTTCTTCCTGTCCTCCAGCAGAGGAACCAACAGAGGAGCTTCCTGACAGTCTGAACACGTCTGAGCTGAAGAACAAGCTGAGAACTTGAAGTGTTGGACGTGTTCTGGATGTTCAACACGTACCGACAAAACACAGTTTTTAGTGGTGAAATGACATCAACAGAAACACGTGGAGCTGGCTTTTAATTTGTAATAAGAACACAAAACTGTCTTGTTGTTTTCAACATTCACCTTAAAGAAATAAGTTACACAACTCATGTTACAATACAAAGAGTTGGATGTTGTCTTGAAATTTGTTAAATTTTATATATTAAGAAATATTTTTTAAAAAAGTTTTTTATTAAAAAAAAAAAACATTACACACACAAAGTATCAAAAAGGTACCGGTACCGATTCCCAGGTACTGGATATTGGTTCTGAATCGATTCAAATGTCAAACGTACCCATCCCTAATGATTGGTCAGTGACATCCTAATGTTACACAGAACCTGCCCTGATGGCTCCTCCTCTCGTTCTCATGGTCCTTGATAAGGTGGTCCATGTTGATGAGGTGGTCCATGTTGATGAGGTGGTCCATGTTGATGAGGTGGTCCATGTTGATGAGGTGGTCCATGTTGATGAGGTGGTCCATGTTGATGCTGAA